ACATTGCCTCTGCGCTGGAGCACGCGCCTGCCGCACTATCTGCTCACTCTTCCGTCTGTACTCTCGCAGATCGATAATCGCAGACGCTCCTAATCGGCTGATTTCTGCGGTATTTTTGCTGTATTTCTGTTGTATTCGGCTTATAAGAGCTGAAATTATTCTTTTTTTTTCAATTCGGTAAGGTGAGTTTATTCGCTGAAACTAGACTACATTTTGCATGATTTTGGCATGGATTGGATGTCGCCGTTTAACATCGATGTTGTTGAATAAAATCATGCAAAATAAAATATAGCTTCAGTAAAACATTCTCACCTTCCCTTAATGAGGCCGGAAGAAGATTGACTCTAGTTTTTAGAAGCTGAAACAGAATTCGGTTTAATGGGTGTATCAGCCATTATCGAACCCCCCCCCCTCGGACCGCTCGCCAGAGTGGTCCTAAGACCGCCCCACGGTTGGATGAGAACTCGAACGTAGATATGTATCGTTGTCTGAAACAGGCGGATTGCAGAATTGAGGAGTCACGGAAATAGATCGATACAGTCGTGTTCGCTGCGGATGAAGGGGCGTATCAGGCAGGATTGGTTTGGCGTGGTGCCAAAACCATCCCGCCTGACACGCCTCTCCAGCGTGCCCGACAGCGAACAAGACTGTTCATATACACTCTCCTTCTTGGCTTTTTTTCAGTTCGTCAATTCTTTACTACCACAAGGTATGAACGCGGCCTTAAGCGGATGACAGACGTTTGCTTGAATGCTCCGAACCACTGCTAACAAATATACTAAGCGCGTTATAGTTTGCGACTGATACTTGCGTGAACGAGCAACTTTCTGAACCGTCTTGAGCTTAACAAACAACACAAGAAAATAAAAATATGGAAAATGATAATAATTAATATAAACAGGGCAACAGAGCTGTTAACAATGCCATAGGGAACAGATTTATAGGCGCTAACCACATCTGATGAGTCTCATTAGACTGCGTTTATACTTTGCGGCAGCGTAGCGCTTCCAGCGTCGCCAGCGGCAGTGTCGGGGAGGATGGATATCGATCTAGCGTTCCCAGCGTCACCAGCGTACGCTAGCGTTAGGCTGCGTTTCTACTTTGCGGCAGCGTTTCACTAGCGTTTCGCTAGCGTTTGCAGCGGCGGGGCTAGAGAGTACAGAAGAGTAGGAGATGTCATGACCCTTGGTCATGATGACTAGGATGCACGGGTCGCAAATGCACATTTTCTAGAAAGTTCGCTCATCGCCGGTAACCAACCAATAGGAGGCCTTGGTACCGCCCACCTGAGCCGGTATTTATACCACCCACAATCAGGGCTATAAAGGTGGCGCGCTGAGGCCCTCTCTCGCTCGTTCTCTTCGCAGTTCTTCACGGTTTCTTCTCTCAGTTTCACTGCTTTCCACATCACGAGCACATAGGGACAAGAACGAACACGATGTGCCAACACAGGAGACGAGACACAAGACACTGCGGACCCGCTATCGCCTGAAGAAGAACAAGACAACACAACTTGACTTGCATTTGACACGAATATGCCAGTAGTTTAGCCTCATATGTTTATGCTTGTAGTTTAATGATTGTAGTCATGCTGTATGTGCTATGTGTTACCAATAAACATGTAACCTACCACTTGAACCACCAAAACCTTATTTGAACCGTGATGCAGTTCAAAACAGGAGAGTACAAAATACTCTCCTACTCTTCTATACTCTCTAGCCCCGCCGCTGCAAACGCTAACGGGGCTAGAGAGTATAGAAGAGTAGGAGAGTACAAAATACTCTCCTACTCTTTACTCTCTAGCCCCCGCTGGCAAACGCTAGCGAAACGCTAGTGAAACGCTCGTGAAACGCTGGAAGCGCTACGCTACGCTGCCGCAAAGTATAAACGCAGCCTTAGAAGAGGAGGATTGCTATGTTTCTTACGCACCCATAGTAACTAGATAAGGTTGGTTCCAAGAATTGACGCGGTGAGTGGGATGGGTACCACAGGGCGTCAGAAAATGGTCAGGGCTGACAAAATTCGAT